TCGCTTAGGTTTGCCCTCTTTAATTATTTTACACGCACAGCGTTTGAACGCATCGCCACCGCGTTCGCGGCCGCTCCGGTTTGCGCGAGCCTTAATTCCACTGCTACCTAAATCCAAATTCTAAAAAAAAAATGTTTCTAGAAGAAGCGACATCATTGAGAAAACTTGACGATTTAGGTATGGGGACATGATATATCATCTTGAAGCATTTGTCACCATCTTTCAATTTACCGAGTAATATACAGGGGGTTTCATTTGAAAAAATGAACTTTTGACTGTTTTAAAAATCTGTTTTAAAATCTGTTTTTCCGTTAATCAGCTGCCGCCCCCATACGAACGACAACTCTCAGAAGTTGAGAAACTTGTGCGAGCTAAGGACTAACGAGGTCTTACCTTTTAACGTGTGATTCCTAACACGGTTGCAGAATCATTTCAGCTTCAACCAGATAAATTCTCTCGAGAAAAATATCTGGTCGAAGCGGGAATCGAACACACGACCTTCCGATCGTGAGTCGGACGCACTACCACCGCGGCCAATTCCACACTTTTATGCACAATGGAAATAATAGTAATTTTAGCACGCCCTGTATGATATGGAGTCGATTTCTTGGTGTTATTTGAATATTTCAAGTTTGTTCAAACTATCATCAGAATATCAACTTTTCATGAATTGAGAGTACTGATGTACTTAATTTCAATTAAGGCTATGTTTTGGACCATATTTAGCACAATTTATTTTTCGAAAACAGATAGAGATAGGTATAGGACATTATTAACAAAAAAGTATTAAAATACCAGAGCGATTCCAAAAATGTATTAATATTAGGGGGTGTTCCATTTAAAAAAATAAAGTTGCTAGGACTTTTTGATGGAAGTAGCAACGCCGCAATGCTGAAAATATTTTAGATCGATAGAACAGGTAAGGAAATGTGAGAGGTGAAATTTTCAGAAAAATCATGCTTTGCGTTTTCCAGAAACGTCTAACCTACCATCGACCGTGAGTCACGTTGTATATTCAGTACAAAAGATATTCAGTTCGCAGATTAATCTGAGACGATTCATTTCATATGATGGAGTCACAAATTGGAAATTTTGAATAGCAAAGTTCTTCAAAATCAACAACCTGAAATTAACAAGTGTTTCAAAAAACTTTTCATATGTGGTGAGAAAATAACGAAGAAAAAATTGTAATATGATGCACAAAAAATTGAGCTATGGATAGGTGTTATCAGAAATTAATGATCGTTTTCTGAAATTATCTGTACTACATTCAATTTGTAGGGATATGTATTAGTTAGAGGGGAAATTTTTCGGGTGTACAATAAATTAAAAAATGATAAAAACATGAAATTTTCAATATACGAGTATATCAACATAATGCCTTTAAAATACTACCATGGAGCAATAGTAAAAATACCTTACATTAAGAAAATCACAGTAGCTGTTCTCGTCTGAAATGCTCATCATTGTGTTGTGGATATTACAAAGTTCCAGCAGTCGTTTCAATAACAATTTCAGTTTATCAGATGAACAGCCACCTATCGACGTAGGAAGATGGTTATGGTACGCTTGCAGACCATTCAGAATTATTTGATATGCTGACAGTAGTTTATGATTCCTATTAGGATTCGATTGTTTCCATTTTCTCAATTCGTCAAGCTGAAATGGTTGTGAATTTCTATTACTACGCCAAAACACAAAAACTTTATTAAAATTTTTCTCGAAGCGAGATGGATGTATTTTTCACCGGAGTTTCTAATTATATTTAATGATGATTATTCACAAAGTGAATGAATACCGAGATGAAATGTTCTAAAAAATGATTGGGATGTAAAAAAAATCAGTCATCAAAAAGATTTGTAAAATGACATTAACGTCGTTTCAACTGTCCACTTTACGCCGGTGACATACTTCGCGATTTCCCAGCGGTGTTTATGCAGTACGGTTTGTGAGCAGTTGCTTTTATTTTTTTGCCAACCCCTGCATTTAAATGGAACATGACAGTATTTGCGATTTTTAACAGCGGCGATTTTTCACAGCCGATCGGCAAATGTCGAACAATTGCCACAAGTTCATCGAACGACTTTATGGACATTCAGTAATAGGTAAAAAAAATGTCTGCAGAAACCCTTTCTTCCTGGTTGCTCTTTCGGTTGTACGGGTGCACGTCGTACCTACTTGTGTGGCATCTTCCAGCAAGAGCGCCTTCTGCGCAAAGGGATACCACTATTTGTTGGTGAAATATCGCAGCAGCAGCAGCAGACTTCATACTGGTTGCTTTGAAGGCGCCAACGATTACTACAGGACGACAAGGGAATATTTCCCCTCCAGTAAGAAACCCGCACTGCCAGGAAATCGGTGGGAAATCGCGGACACTGTCAAGTGCTCACTGTAGCGATTTTTACCCAGCAATTTCCGCTCGGAAACCACGCTGAAAAAAACCGCTCTGAAATCGAGAAGTATGTCACCGGCCTTAGGATTCCTACAGGTGAAAGGTAGATGACCTTTTTTTACCCACATATATACATATTATGAAAAGATGATTTCATTCATACTTTACCAGAAGCAAAGCCCTATTTCAAAAACAGTACTGTATATATTTTCACATGTTTGAATGTCTATACCTAGCCTAATTTCAATGTCGCTTTATATATAAAACGCTGTTCTTGAAATGAATCGTTTTCAAGATATTTATTTGTTTCAAAATAACTCCTCAATAATTCTCAATCTTGTTTCATTTCGTGGTCCTGTAGGCCTGATATTTTCAAAATGATACACAAGTTGTTGGTGACTTATTCAGAGGACTTCAAATAAATAAAACCTGTTTTTTCCAAATGGAATGCTCTATATATCATGAAAGTTTTGTTTTCATTTCATTTCAGTTTTCATTCATAAAAGACATACAACTTCTGCTAGATAACTTGAGAACTGCCCTTAAAATATTGAAGAAACATAATTGGATCAAATATATAAGAAAGGTTGGAGTTTTTTTTTATTTGAAAATAATCGCATCAACCTTATGGTTATTAGCGGCAGAAAATATATTTACAAGCAGTAACTATATTGATTACAACATTATATTTTGTTGGATAAGTTCAGAGCACCTAAATAATTTAAAATCTTGCTAGCACTAAAATAACTCAAGGTTTCCTGCGATTCCTTCGATATTTTGCACATTTCCCTTTCTAATTGGAACACTGGACACTGCACTATGATGTGATGTATTTTTTGTGCAACTTCACATTGCCTCTTTTCTATATATACTTTCACGGAAAATGTTCAAGTGACAGCACATTTGATTCCACCACGAGCGGTACATATCAGAAATACGCGACAGACTGTGGCTGCTCATCTTTTGGATTATTGACCGTCACAGTCACTTGAAATATAATGTTATATAATACAGTGACGAGTATTGTGACGCCTGAAGATGTTATTGTATAGCGAAACACGTGTCGCAGTTTTGTAAACTATCAAGTGGAAATCTCACATTGAAGTATTTTTTGAATATGTATCGCTAGAATTTCAAAGCTCAACATCTTCTGAACGAGAGAACTTATTGTCAAAAATGAACCAGTAATGGATATAGTATCGTAAGCCTTTTTTAATGAAGTATCATTCGAACCAATTTTCATCAAATAAAATTTTGGGAGGATATCCCCGCTCAGAGGGTTCAAGGTTTTGCAATTGTTTTTGAGTCAAAACTTATATCCTTCTCACAAACCAAATTGAGGTATTTTTAGATTTTTGCGAAAAGTTTTTTCCCTGGCAGTTCTGCCTTGATGTACGTTTTCGATAGATAACTCTGTATATGAAGAAGTTTAATTTTTTTTATATTTAATAAGTAGGTACAGGACTGTTCAAATTCAAGCTAATGCATGGTTATCTCGTAAACGGTAAGAGATATAGACCAGTCACTTTAGCATAAAAAAGGAGTTCAACTCGGAATGAGAGGTAATAAGCTGTCTCAAAAGTCTCATTTAATTTCGTGTCTGTACCGGAAGTTAAACGAGGTCAAAGGTAAAATAAATGCGGTTATCTCAGTGTCTATTGCTCCAACGATATTAAGATCTATCATAAAAATTGTAAAGCATTATATTTAGGATAAATTTAACTTGAACCTTTTTTTCATGGGCTCAATCGTTTTTGAGATAGAGGGGATAAACGCGCAGCGCTCTGTCGTGCGTACTGTAATCCAAGGTCAACCGAGAATATCTGTGAATATTACCCTCAATTTTGAATAATTTGTATAATTTATCAGTTAATATATTATATTTAACAACATTTTTGAATATCTATGAATATTACATTTTAATGTATTGAAAATACATTTTAAATATAAAAGTTTTTAAATACTTATTTTTCTATCATGATTATAACTTGGTAGACGCATCTTTTCAATACAACCTTTTTCTATGACGTTTATACCTGAAATGAGAATCCAGAGACCCTTATATAATGCGACCTTCTTTTTTACATTATTAAAAATTTAAAGGTTTTCACAACAATTTCATTTTAATTGTAAGAAATGTACAGCTGTTGAATAAAGATAAAATTAAAATATATTAACTCACTTTTTATATTTCAAATGTATTTTCAATACATCAAAATGTACAATAATTATTTCAAAATGAATTTTTATTTACACAAAGTAGTTGAGTATTATTAAATTAATATATGTGAATTGTAAAATGTTGTTAATTATAGTATATCAACTGATAAATAATACAAATCATTCAGAATTTAAGTTAATATTTTCAGATATTCACTGTTGACCTTGGATTACAGTACGCACGGCAGAGCGCTGCGCGTTTACCGCCCACTCCGCCCTCTATCTCAAAAAAGATTGAACGCTTGAAAAAAAGGTTGAAATAAAATGAATCCTAAATTTTATGCTTCACAATTTTTATAATAGATGTCAACATCATTGGAGCAATAGAAACTGAGATAACCGCAAAAACTGTTTTTTTTTTACCTTGGACCTCATATAACTTCCGGTACAGACACGGGATATATGAGACTTTTGAGACAGCTTTTAGAACGCCATAATAATGGTATATACAAATATTTAGCTTATTACCTCTCATTCCGAGATTAATCGCTAAATTAACAGGACTAATAAACAGTTTAGTTGTGACAACGTTACCTATTTTAGATACTATTGAAGGACAATCGACTTTAGCTCCAGATTAGATTTGCTTTAGATTTGCAAATCTAGTTTTTTGCTGCACCTTCTTTATTTTCAGAAATTTCGAAAATCGTTTTACACCTTTCCATAACAACTTTCTTTGGATTTGGAATATCAGGCTAGGATCTTTGAACATGTTGTGCGACTTAAGGCACATTCAACTTTGTAATTTCCTATACGAATTTGTATTTTTCAGCAAATATGTACCGATTATGTTCATACAATATCGTGAAAATGAATACATTTTTTCGATATTTCTGAAAGATTTGGTAATTTGATCAAATAGATACATTTTTAATTACGGTTCTGATACTCGCTCCAATGGAAAAAATTCTTACTCTCTATATTAATCACTCATTCTCAAAAACTTCGTCGCGATCATAGAATGTGTTGGTATCACAAACTTTTATCTGATATTTCCAGTGTGGTTTTCACACGTTTCACAATTTCCAGACTTCATGTCTAATTCCCATTTCGGCGTTTGTGGTATTTGATCGGAAGTTAATCAGTAGTAAAAAGTACAAGTTATTGTTTAAGAACTGACTTCGAATTGCAAATGATGATCTTTCCTAATTCAAAGTTCATATGAAGTTTGTGAGAGAAGTTACAAATTCCAGAATCCAATAAGAAAATCCTTAGTTTCTAAAATTCTGGAAAAACGAATCTGGATACAATACAATAGGAAAGCTCTCAGTTTAGAAAATACTGGAGAAACGAACCTGGATACCTTATTTTTGGAAGGAATGTTTTATTTCGGTGAATTTCTCGAATAAAATTGGTATGTTTGAAACGAAGCGTTTTAGGCTTTCGCGGCCGAAATTTTCAGTGTTACTATCTTCATTCAGGTTTGAAGGCTGTCGTAGTTTGGAACTGCATCCTAACGTTTCGCCAGGACGAGTGGCTGGCTTCTTCAGAGGTTTATTCATCTTGATGATTCGCCGATGACTGGTGATTTCTAATCTGTAGGTTATATTTATATTGACTCAGGTAGTCCGCCTCTCTTGTTGATGTGTTATTACCTGTTAATGACGTATCTTTTTGTCTTGAAAATAAAACAGAAATTGTGGCTTTAAAAAACCCGAACTCAGATGAGGAGATCACCATTCTACCAGTTGAAAAGGGAAATGTCACGGTGCTTTTGAAAACAGAAGAATACAACAGAAAAATTGAAGAACTTCTCGCAAGCTAAAAAGAGACAACACAATTAAGGTTGCGGAATACGAACCCTCTCATAAAATCATCATCATTGTCGGAAACCACTCAGAGGACCATTTTAAGAACAGAAGCCGTCCCGAAGATACACTAAAGAGATGTACCATTGAGGCCCATAGTAAGGGCAAAAGGTTCGCCTACGTATTACTTACTTGCGACATACTGTTTGGAACCTTTGGTGTAGTAATGAATATTACCGGAGTTTTTTCCCAACACCAAATCGTTATTTTTACACATCGACACGTGTTTCGATCACCAA